TACCGCAATTGTGCCTTGGATTTTTCCCCCAAATTGACACCCACCCAGTCTGGCAGAATGTGTGCTGTTGTGTGTATCGATGCTTTGTAATGGCCAAACTGCAGTGTTCATGTATCAATGACAAGGCACCATGATAAAGTAAGTGGCTCAGTCTTGCATATGCATTCCTTGATAAAACTGTATTTGTGACTTTTAATTTGAAATTTTGAGCAGGATTATAGCTATGCCAGGCGGCGGGCAGGGCTATCCAGCTCTACATGTAATCTCCACCAGGCACATTGGGTAATTTTGAGCCTGACAGCCTGGCGCATATTTCATTCCCCGAGTTCGTAGAATTTCTTTAAAATCTCAAAAATTTCTCATGTCTCATGTATGTTCTATCTGTAGCAATTATAAGATATTTCTGTCTTTAATTCCTTGTTTTTAACAGCAAAAAACACTGAGGTACATGTAAGTGTAACAGGGAAAAATGGCACGCTATGGAGAAATCGAAAAACAACAAAACAAAAAATTCCTAACTAAACCAAGGATCTTTGAGGAAAGGGTCGCAGGAAACTGAACCCAGGACTCAGACACCAATATTTGACTTCAAAAAAGGACAACAAAGAATTTGTTAATGAAAAAGTACTGGAAAAAAATGAAAAAAACCAAAACGAAAGGACTAAAAAACAAAGACTTTAACCAAAAGACTAAAAATTTTAAAAGGACTAAAAACCCAAACCAACACAGTGTGTAAAATGGACCCTAAGAGTTTACACTCGGACTTCAATCTGTAAAAAATAAGATAAGTAAAGAACATACATGCAAGAAAAACAAAATCTCTCCTACATGAACTACATACTGGAAATGAGAGCAGGGATTAACATGTCATACAACTAAAATTGTGCACAGGCCTATGGGGCTCATTAAGTATTCAAATCCCCTGGCAAGTCCAAATAAACAATCAACTAAGGAAGAGAGGACAAAGAAAGGCATGTTCTGAGGCAAATGAATGGAAATTCTTATACATGACTAATATACCTTCACCAAAAGATTAAGAAAGGTAAGGAAATATGAGAAAATCAAAGAAGTAGAGATCTTAAAGATGATAGAAGCTTAGAGTGTGAGTGTTTTCTGGGCATAAAAGCTAGACAAAATTAGGAAAACTTCAGTAGAAAACTAATACTCAGAAAGAAAATGGACAAACCTTGGCAAAAAGTTTAGAAACTTTACCTTATACATGAATAAGAAAAGTTTAGAGACTCACCACGGAAGTTCTTGCCAAAAAGGGTTCAAGCAGAAAACCACACTCCAGTCAGGAGGAACAGTACATGTGGGGGTGACTGGTCTCTGCTGATCTGCTACACTGAGTGTAGCCAGACCATATGGCAACTCTATATGGGGGATGCTGAGTCACATACATCCCATCACATGAGGCAAGCTTCACATCCAGTTTTCCCTGTACTGTTAATGTACAGCACTACACACACACATTGCATTTGATGTGTACATGTACATACATGACGTACGNGTGCCGTTACGGAAAGAGCTATCTGTTTTTGTGAAGTAACTCACACAAATGTTTCTGAAGTTTTTGGTGGTTTCATGTTTTCCAGTCAACAAAGTTGGGAATGTACGGTCCTCGCGGGGGTCAATGGCTCCCGGCAATTCCATGTCCTCACAGTTTCTAGCATTAGGAGCCAGTTTACCATGCACACTTCTCGTGCGCTTCCACCACACAATGTGCACAATGCAAGTTACTTAATTCCTGTTCGCGGGAATGCCTGCAGAGTTTGCGAAGTACCAATTTCGACAGTCTTTTATCTGTGACTCAATACATCCTCATCTGCAAAAGCATTTATGGAAAAACATTCACACAGTTTTAAATGTGTTCACTGTCAAATTGTTCATTGCACTGTATGTTGCATATAGCTCCATGGTTTTGTAGGGTTGCCTGGGTTTCAGTACCGATTGTATCAAGCTCAAAAGTTTCTATGTAGCCCTCTAACTGGCATCATGCAGAACACAGTAGCAAGTTTAGCTTGCTGTCCTAGTCTGAGATTCAAGTGGTTCAACAATCAAGTGGTTATCAACACCTGTGGTGTGAAAGTTGCATGAGCACAACTGGTACCCTGCTGATGAACGCGTGGCTGTAAGGTCTATTAAAAACCACTGTGACCTGTAGAGTTTCACACAATGTATGATGTGCATAGATCATTCACTCAGTAAATGGAAGTTGAAGAAGAGCATACGTAAATGCTGGCGCGGCACGTAGTGCAAGCCGAAAGAAATATTTCTCTTTCTTTTCTTCAGGAAAAGTGAAGTTCGATTTTCAGTTATTCACCTTGACCCGCCCACTTTTTCGAAAATCAAAATTGAAAAAATGTTGGAAAGTTTGAATGGTCCCTAAGACTTTTCGTTTGGAACAGGAAATAGATGTTTTTAGTTTGAAAATGCACAATTATTTACACAAAAAAATTACAAATTTTTAGGACTTCTATCAAGGGTGTATTTTTGTCTCTACAAAAAGAAATCAAGCATATTGTAAGTTGCTCCCTCCAAATGTAAACTGAGCCATGAAAAGTCATTCGTCCAAACAATTATTGAACTCTCAAATTCTGGAGGAAACGAAAAATGAATTAATATCGTACCATTTTACTGCTTGTTATTTCTTTTATGAAATTTCAAATTTTTGTGCCTTATTTTCTTCATGAAATTGTACGAATGTATTATCGTAAATGTACATCACAGACAAGAGGGGCATGGAAGAGACAAATGTAAATAATCACTTTGGTCCAAAACCTGTCGCCTTAAATTTCATATTCAAATAAGCAAGTACCTGTACTGCCCATCATATTCCCAGAAAAGTTATAGCACGATAAACTAAAGAGGCGTACTACCAACATTTGTCAAATATTCTTTAAATTGAAAAATTCAGAGGACCTGACGTTTAAATCTTAGCAGAATCTTTCTCCAAGTTATGTGTTCAAGATTCAAGCAACAGTCGAATATATAGTGACTGGTACATGATATACAGCTGAACATTCGGAAGAGCAAATATAGAAATGGTTGCAAATATACGCTTTACCTAAAACTACTGAAGTACATGCAAGGTCTACATAATTGTGTGTATTCTGTGTCTTGGCATATTCAAATTTCTGTTTTGGTATTTAAATACATGCAAATAAGCTGTGCCCTCTGACCTTTTTGAAATTGCGCAATCCCAACCTTTAAATATAAGTTCCGACATTGAGAGGTCTACGGCCTGGTGTTTAGCTTGCTTGCTGCTAGGCCAGGGTACCCTGGTTCAAACCCTGAGTCCCCCTTGTGGCGGTCTCAGTTGTCTCCCGGTCTCAGTGGTCCCCCTTACCAAATATGGTAAAATACGTCATGCCATCTCTGTGCACAACAACGGGAAAGTCGTTTGTTTAATGTCCGGCTATTCAGGGGGGCCCGCTGTGACTGGGAGACAGCCACACCGGAAAAGGACTTCTTTTTTTTTTTTTTTTTACTAAGTTTTTTAGCAAAATTGTGCATGCCCACTTGGATTTGAACCCAGGTTCTTTCTTGAAGGCAACACTTTCTTGAAAAAAAATGGGCTCGTTTCTAAATGTTTAACCTTCCATTGTTTGGACTTGGAATATTTTTTCAGCCAAACTCTGTACTGGAGGTGGGTAAGGGTGGAAGTCCTAGGGGCTGGAAGTCTGAGACCTGACAGGAAGGGTAGAGCGCATGGCTGAGGGTGGGGACTATCAGTATTGGAGTTGTGTTCCCGCCGTTCGAGCGCGAGAACGAGAAACCCATGTCAAGAACAGGCCGCCCGAACTCGACCACTGATTCCTTGCAAAATATTAAAATAAACGCGGCATTGCGTATTCTAACAGCTAAATAAAGTGCAGAAAAGTCCCAAATGCTTTCCCCGGACTCCATTCTACAAAATGTGAACTTCTGCTTGGAAAAGCCGGAGGGACAAAGTACCTGAAGGCGACAGAATAATCTGGCGGAAACATTTTCCAAGGGAGACACGTTTTCCTTTGAGCAGGGGGGACAGACGAGTTGTACATAAAAGAGGGCGCTATGTAGTTTTTCATCGTAGTTTTGAGACTCGGCAGGGGGCGCTCTACATGTATTTTCTAAACCTGCCTAGTTTAGGCCGATAGAGGGCGCTATATTCTATATCAACAGAGGGCGCTATATATTGAGTCAATAGAGGGCGCTATACATATCAATGAGATCAATCGAGGGCGCTGTTTGCACACGCGACATGTCAAACTCTATCTGTCTAGGCAGCTGGGCCAGTACAGTATGTAATGTATTTCAAGTTTTAGTTTTGAGAAAAACGAGCCCAAAATGTACTATTGATGCAGATTGCTCAAGAATGTAACAGTGACTTTAACCAGTATGTGGAGAAATTCTGTAGGTAAGATAAACAGTTTGCCCAGTGGGGAGGGAAAAATCGTGTGACCCGTATTATGAGCATGACCAGCCGATCAGTGCAGTGACCGTACCTCACGTAGTCCGATACTCGTGCATCATTGACTGAGCAACAACATGTTTGTGGATTATTTCATCATTCAGTCATTTGGCATTTACATTGCCTATCTACAGTATACTATTATACATGTACATGCAGGACTAGTCTAACTTGGACTCTACAAATTGGATTCTGGCTCCTTCCTCCATGATTCTGGTGAGCTCATGTGCTACACGTGCCAACTCGCATGCCAACATGGCCATACGCCAACATGACCAACATGACCAATTGACCAACTCAAGATCATTACGATTGTAACCCAAATTGTGCCATCACATGAGTACGACAGTACGTGTCAGGATGTGTGCCGTTACCCTTTCCCTCTATAAATGTTGGATTTGCAGAATATCCCACACATGAAAATACTCCCTTAAAATCCAATGGCTACGTAGTCGAGTGGAGGTTGTTCAACTTTCACATTATCCTTGCAGCGTCAAGGTACACGTAGGCTCCCTATGTGTTGTACACAGTATTGAAGTCATTTTTGAGAACGAAGCACTCACTTGAATTACATACCACTCACCAGGGGAAGACTGAGAATTTTCTAAGTCCAATGTGGGACCCAGGGGAGCGGCTACTCGGATTCGGAATACGAAGTGGGTCTCGTGGAAGTGTGACTTGGTATCCATGGCTACGAGGTGGGCAAGGTGAGTGGCGGGGTATACCGCAATTGTGCCTTGGATTTTTCCCCCAAATTGACACCCACCCAGTCTGGTAGAATGTGTGCTGTTGTGTGTATTGATGCTTTGTAATGGCCAAACTGCAGTGTTCATGTATCAATGACAAGGCACCATGATAAAGTAAGTGGCTCAGTCTTGCATTTGCATTCCTTGATAAAACTGTATTTGTGACTTTTAATTTGAAATCTCCAGCAGGATTGTAGCTACGCCAGGCGGTGGGCAGGGCTGCCCAGCTCTACATGTAATCTCCACCAGGCACATTGGGTAATTTTGAGCCTGGCAGCCCGGCGCATATTTCACTCCCTGAGTTGGTAAAATTTCTTAAAAATCTCAAAAATTTCTTATGTATGTTCTATCTGTAGCAATTTGGAGATATTTCTGTGTTTAAGTCCTTGTTTTTAACAGCAAAAACACTGAGGTACATGTACATGTAAGTGTAACAAGGAAAAATGGCACACTATGGAGAAATCGAAAAACAAATCGAAAAACAACAAAACAAAAAACTCTTAACTAAACCAAGGATCTTTGAGGAAAGGGTCGTAGGAAACTGAACCCAGGACTCAGACACCAATATTTGACTTCAAAAAAAGACAACAAAGAATTTATTGATGAAAAAGTACTGGAAAAAAATGCAAAAACCAAAACGAAAGGACTAAAGGACAAAGACTTTAACCAAAAGACTAAAAATTTTAAAAGGACTAAAAACCCAAATCAACACAGTGTGTAAAATGGACCTTAAGAGTTTACACTCGGACTTCAATCTGTAAAAAACAAGAGAAGTAAAGAACATACATGTAAGAAAAACAAAATCTCTTGTACATGAACTACATACTGGAAATGAGAGCAGGGATTAACATGTCATACAACTAAAATTGTGCATAGGCCTATGGGGCTCATTAAGTATTCAAATCCCCTGGCAAGTCCAAATAAACAATCAACTAAAGAAGACAGGACAAAGAAAGGCATGTTCTGAGGCAAATGAATGGAAATCCTTATACATGACTAATATACCTACACCAAAAGATTAAGAAAGGTAAGGAAATATGAGAAAATCAAAGAAGTAGAGATCTAAAAGATGATTGATAGAAGCTTAGAGTGTGAGTGTTTTCTAGGCAAAATAGCTAGACAAAATTAGGAAAACTTCAGTGATTCAGAAAACTAATACTCAGAAAGAAAATGGACAAACCTTGGCAAAACGTTTAGAAACTGGATAATATTGAGGAAAGAGGGAAAAATTGACTTTATACATGAATAAGAAAAGTTTAGAGACTCACCGCGGAAGTTCTTGCCGAAAAGGGTTCAAGCAGAAAACCAAACTCCAGTTAGGAGGAACAGTACATGTGAGGGTGACTGGTCTCTGCTGATCTGCTACACTGAGTGTAGCCAGACCAAATGGCAACTCTCTATGGGGGATGCTGAGTCTTAAACAAATAAACAGGGGGGCACACTACTAAAAAAGATAGAACTCCAAACTAAAGCTGAACGTTTTTAAAGGGGAACTACTTCTATGTAAAAACGTGTGTGTACTGACATACTCATTTCTGGCTCTGCCACACTGGACTAAATAAGGCACCAATCCA